CACTTTGCAGTTTCTGTGGCAGGAAACATTAAATCATGTCCTCAAGTGCCATGTGCAAACACTGCCTTCCTGCCCTGCAGCAGATCAACATTTCCACCCAACTGGGTGCTGTGTGTGGACTCAGTGCCCTGGTCCAGGTCTCCAGTGAAGGTGTTAAACAGGACTGGTCCTAACACAGAATCTGGTGGAACATCACTGGTGACCAGCATCTGGCTGGATGTAATTCCATTCAACATCACTTTCTGGGCCTGCTCATCCAACCAGTTTTTTACCCAGTGCAGATGCACCTCTCCTTTCTCTCCCTGTTTTAATTCAGCTTTTCTCTCTCCCTTTTCATCTTCCCCTTTCTCCAAACCCCACCGCCATGCACTTCTATACCTACTAAAATACCAATTCTCATGCCAAGTGTGTAATTTACTAATAAAACCTTGTGATTTTTTCCAGATCCTCTGACTGTTGTCATTCTGTTCCACCATAAGCATTTACAAATCTTGACTGCTCCCATCCCTTTAAGGGTGGGATGTCACAAACAGCTTTACTAAAGCCTAGGTAGACAACATCCAGAGACTTTCCCTCGTCCACTAAGCAGGGAAGATGATCAGGTTGGTCAAGCAGGACCTGCCTTGTGTAAATCCAGGCTGGTCTGGCTTGAATCCCTGGCTGTCCTGTTTATGCCACATGATTACACCCAAAATGATGACTCCATGACCCTCTCTGGCAATGAAGTCACACTGACATGACTGTAGTTTCCTGGTTTCTCCTTCCAACCCTTCTCACAGATGGGCATCACATTTGCCAATTTTTGCCACTATGTTTCCCCTCACATCCAAGATTCTCTTTGGCCCTCCTTTGGTTGCTGATGTATTTGCACAAAAATTTTTTTTGCTGTCTTCTGCTTCTGAGATTTCTAAAGTATCAATAATCCTTTCATCCTTGCTGCTGCAAAGATCTCCATCCCCATGCCTCMCTGCCATGGCAGATGGAAGGACCTYRGTAGAAGTGCCACCCCCAGGATTATCTCTGACTTTGTCCCCATTCCCCTTCAAAGAGTTTGAAGCTCTCTCAACAAGCTCCTCTAATTCCTGAGCAAAAATCGTTTTTCCTCTTTAAGACAAGTGAAATCCAACCATTTCAATGAAAATAGCACACAAACCTCCCCCATCTCCCTCTGTTCAATTTATACAGTAAATTACTAAATTTTAACAGTTGGAAAAAGTGCAGAGAAATAAATTAATACGCTGTATTTTTCACAGAGGAGCCTTACTTTTCTGGTTTTAGGTCCCGGTATATTATTCCAAGGCTATGTAGATGGTCTAAAGCAAGTGCTAATTCTGCCAGATAAAATTTAACATCATCTTCTGTGAACATCACCTGAAAAAGTAATACAATGTATTTTCCATGTGAAATCCATAAAGGTTACACCAGCACCAACTAAACAACAACAGCGTTTTTTAAAAAAGGTTCTTTATAATACTTGAATTAATTTCTATACAAAACACTGGAAAATTCAAATTTCTTGGTTACACAAAAACTAGGATTTTTTAACTCACACTATTTCATACTTGAAATACTGGGATATACTTGAAAAAGAACTTTTAAAGGCAATCTATGATTCTTTCCACAAATGGGGAGATTATCTGTTTCTGATTGTTCCAGAAAACAGACAGACATATTATAGTGACACCAAAATATTTTGGAAGCACTTAAAGAATGAATACCTCTTAGTTGGATGGGATCATTGCATTTCCAGACAGCAAATGGATAAAAGAAGTCCAAATGCCTGTATTTTATTTATGAAGCTAGAAAGAAGAAAAGTGTGTATGTCTTGGTTTTGAAAAGATTGTCTCTAGGTACTTAGAGAAAGAAGTTCCAGTGATGGTAAAAGCCCCAAAGTGCAGCCTGAGATACAACTGCAGAAAATGCAGATCAAGGAGTAAATGAAGAAAACAGCCTATGTAAGAGCACAGTGGGGATCCCAGGTAGCAATCCCACTTTTTGGATTAGGATGATAAACTAATCCATTCATTACTAATTACTAATTCATCACTAATTACATTCATTGAAATGAACATATTGCCCCAATATATCAACTGTTGTGATCCCTGACAGAATACATTACAATTCAGCTCTTCTGAGACAGTAGAAAAATATAGAAATAAAAAAAAAAGATCCTGCATGACTTGATTCTGTTTTAGTTACTACTCAGTTATTTTATTTGCCTTGTTTTTAGAATCTAAGACTAACCCCTTAAAATAAAGCACACAGACCCAGAAAAAAGCATGACAATAGGGAGAAAAGATTAACATTATTTTAAATAAGAGTTGAGAAGCAATAGTATATTTTCCGATTGGTAGTTTCAAGAGAAAAAGCAATACTAAAGCTTGTACAAAAGATTGTTGCTGATGTAACTTCTACAAATGAGCCAATATTTAGTGCGGGCATATCCAAGAAGGGAAATCCCTATAAGAAACATTTAAAAGCTCAAATAATAAAAGATCCCATGAGGATGAAAATACACCCACACTACATTGTTCAAACCCATTGCATGGGATTAATCTTCCCTAACCTTAAACACCTCCAGTGTAGGTACTCAAGTAGCTTTGAATTAATCCCTTTTCCCTTTGTAGTCCATAGGAAAAAAGCAACAACTTTTAGTCCCTCTGATCCATTTCAAAATCACAAGGATTTGTATGAGGATGACATTAATAGCACCCAGCATTACACTTATACCAGTTATAAATACTTTGCTTAGATTCAGGTAATGATTATTTCTCATCTAACTATGTGAAATTTTATAAAATATGAGTGGCTCAAGATTAAAAAGTCACCAGCAGGAAACCAATACACACTCTTTCTTGGGAATCAACAACAAACTATGAACTTTAAGGGAAAAGTATCTCAATTTTAGAGCACTAATAACATTTTAGTTATCTGTAGCAAACTGAACCACAAAAGACAACTTGAATCAGATGGCATCATCAAAATAACTAATAATTTCTATGGTCAGCACAGAAATCAGGATACATCTATACCCAAAATGCATTCCATTCTACTCTCCTCTTAATAACAAAATAGCTTTGCAGTGGTCCCAGATACTGTCATAGCAAAGGAAAATGGAAAGCAGCTACAAACTGCAAGTCCAGGCTATCAGATACACATTGGATATAATCTCTATCCTAACGTATTTTTGTTGCAAGTTTTTGAACAGGAGGGATGCAAAACAAAAACTTAAAAAAATATGATGATGGATTAGATGTTAACACTTAGGAATTGTAATCAAATTAAATTGAGGTAATGGAACCCTTCAAAGTTGTTATTTCCTGTATGTACACAGATATATTACCATGATGACAGAGGCAAAACATTCACTTTTTGAAAATTACAAAAATAAAGTGGAATAAAATAAATGGAATACAATGCTCTCTTTTTAAATAATTATACAAATTGAAATAATTCATAGGTAAAAAAATATCTGCCCGTGAATTCTGGACATTAAAGCTAGACATCAATTAATCAATTTGAACACATTTACTTTATACAAATCCAGGCTCTGAGCCTCATATTTAAACATGGTAGAAATGGGAGAAGAAAATTTTGCCAGGTATAAAAAGAAGCACAGAAAGACTRCTCGCCTAATACTTTTTTCAGAAATAATGTAMAATCAGTACTTTYGTGAAATGACCACTCTATGCAAAAAAMCMCCAACCAAATAAAAAACCTACCTGGTTAAAAACAGATTAAAATCTTATTGAATGAAAACTGAATTTAAAATGTAAACTCTCCTAATACAGGCAAATAATAGTCAAATTTTATCAACAATTTTTCAAATTAAGAAAATGTACCTCTTTGGATAAGCGTGTAAACAAGTCTCCTCCCCTGAGAAAATCCAAAATAAGATACAGCTTCCCTTCTGTTTGAAAAGCTGAAAAAAATCAATTAAAAAAATAAGTATCACCTAGCTTTATCTATGATCAGGAAAACAACAAACCCAACAATTCACCCTTTTTTTCATTATCAAATGAATTCTTCTTTCTCTTTTGTGAAAAAATGTATTGAAATGAATTAGGTAAATGATCTTCTATCACGGACCAAGTAATTCCCAGGCGATGTGAAACTAAAGCAAATCACCAATAAATTTTCTTGAAAAATAAAGTTTATTTAGGTCAGCCAGCATTTTGAATTAAGTAGCCAGATTTAAAAGGAAAAACTAGTAACTAGTGCACCTTTTAAAATGTCTAGGAACTCAGCTTAACAGGGATATTTAGTCTAGTAAAGTAAAATAGTGAAAGGTACATCATTTAAGCCACATCAGAAAGCAAGAGAGAGATGAGATTTAACTATAGGAAAAAAAAGAACCCTAAAAGAAAAATATGAACTGAAAAAAAAACCAAACCAAACTAGAAACTCCACCATTTTTTCCCATGTTAAATGTAGTGACATCCTCCCCCTTACACTTAACTATTGCCACAGCTGCTCACACTATTAAAATTAAAAGGCAGATTTTGATGCAAGTGGAAGTAGTGCCATTGAATACATTTTCTAAGAGTAAACAAAGCAACTGTAAGAAACAACTTAGAAAGCGTGTGTCACACAAAAGATTAGATGTTTTGGAAAATCATGGCTAGTTATTAATAGATAAATGCTTTTCAATAACACAAAGGGCTACAAACTCTTAGTTTTATAAAGATTTACCACTGCAAAGTCAGCCACATGCTTATATTGCATGAGAATTATTATAGAGAATTATTATAGAGCAAACCTTGCACAATTGGGACTTAACACACTAATGTTTCAGGATTCTCTGACCACAAAACAAATGTTAGGAATTAGCCTGACAAACATTTTCACACTATAAAAATGAATTTTTCTGCAACTCACCATAATGTAACTTGACAATAAAAGGATGGTTAACTTCAACTAGGATATCACGTTCCATTTTTGTCCGAACTCGATCTCGAACTGCAACAGAACATGAGCAAGCAAGATAAAAAAAAGAAAAATTATATTATGAATCTGTACTTCTCCTGTGTTTCCTGATGTACTTCACATTTTGTCCTATAATATTATAACTGTCTGCAAGTCAATACATTGTACACAGCTGAGAACAGAGAGAATTTATTACCCTTTTTTTCTGATAAATATCTTAATGCATTTCAATTAGCTTCAGTTTCTGCTATTGACAAAACCTGATACTGGGCAAATCAATTTAACAAAAGCAGGAAAGGAAAAATAATGGCTGTCTGTTCCATACTTCGTTAACCCTTTAAATACTAGGGCAAAACAGTCCCAGCTATGTATAGAAAACAATGTACTACTGAAAGGCATAGGGAATGATAGCAAAAAAAATTACTGAATATAATCATCCTATCATAAAGAAGTTTATATTGGCTTAATTCATTAAACAACTCACATTATTAAGATATTACCTCCTTCAGAATTTGAAAGGGAAATTTTTTTTTTAAAATTTCCTTTATTATGAACCTAAAATAAAAATGCTATTGATTCAACGTAGTGTATAGTTCAGATTATCTTTCTGATAATAAGAACATTTACTGAGAGTAAACATCCATGGAGAAACATATCAGACATTAAATGCAGTTGCTGTTCAAGCTGCCTGCACTGTCCCTCCATGGTGGCACAGAATTGGCACATTCTGAGCACAGAAATGCTCCTATGCCATGAGAGATTGACCCCCAACTCTCCTGCCAACTCCAGGCAGTGCTTGCTTCCCATCTGAACCTCTGAATCAGCCAGAACACAGAAAAAAATTTCAGAATTCTCCATAGGTGAGAGCTATTAAAGTTTGCTTTGAGTGGTTTAAGGTGTTGCATTTCTCTTTCTCTTATGCTATGTTTTGTTATTGCTCCTTTCACAAATGTATTGAACTCCAATTCAAAGTTTAAGTTCACTGCAATCCTTGTACAGTTAACAAGCCAGAGTTCTCAGGTATTAAAACATAACAAAGCAGAAATTAAAAAAAAAAGACATGAACCAAAAGGGTATATAGGTGTTTATCTTCTCCCAGAAAGAGGCACTTACAGTAATACAGGTACTTGTGAAAAAGTTATATGATTTTCATGAATGAATACAACTAACAACTTCCCATCTGCCTATAGAATACATTCCTAAAACTGGAAGCACATGAAATAAACTCTGAAACACAGAACAAACACCACATTTGAGTGTTGACCTTTGCATCTAAAGCCATTAAAATGTCACAAGATAGTGGTGTGGCTTCCAGTAGCTCATCTAAATGACAAGACTGAAATTCAGAATTATTTTTTTTTAGGCACGTTCAGTTAAGAAAAAAATTTGAAAGGCATGTTTAAGTGCCTGCAGCCATGCAACAGTTACATGGAAAGTGCAGATTTACAAAAATCCTAGCAAAAAAAGTGTAAAGAACTGAGCTCATTTCAGACAGCAGCAGCCATTATTTGGCTTGACATCTGACTTTTGTTTGACTGTAATTTCCAGTTTCATTCTACTGGAAGCACTGATTTTTCTTAATACATTWGAWGCCAGACACTCTAGCAATGTTTTGGCTCTGTGTGTCTCTCCCCATCATAAAGGGGCACTGAAAGATGACACCTTCCAGCAGAGTGTATTAATAAACTAGTCTCTGCAGTAAACAAAGCTGCATGTATATATTCTTGGATTTGCTCTAAATATTAAAAAGTTGAACTGTGTAATTATATCAATGTGCTCTGGCTAATACAGCTGCATTCCTAAGAAAATAAGGCTCTCTAAATTAGATTTGTGGATCAAATACACTGTTTTCAAGTGTGGTCTTTTAGTCTTTAATTACAGGACAAAAAAACCCCACTATGAAATAGATTTGAAAGAGCTAAAAAAACAGAAAAATCAAGTAATACACTGTATTATTAAAAATATAGCATCATATATATATAAAAAATTGTAATTATGAAAAATAGAATTCCAGTTAATTTCATATTAAAGTTTCAGCAATAACCTTAATTTGCTCACAACGCTGCTCTTCCTAAAACACGAACCACAAGCAAGCAGTACATGAAAAGCACCTGAAAAATCAAGATTCAAAGTACTGAGAACTGGGGTCACCTTTCTGCTCAAGCCTTTTGCATCCTTGAATTCTTGGTGTCTCAAAGAGTATCCTTTCCCAATTAAAAATCATGCTCCCAATTTCAGTATTTATCAGTCTCAAAACTAGAACCACACCTTGGACTGCAGTTTTTACTCAAGGTTAAACTGCAATCAAAAGGTGATGAAGAGAAGCCCTCAAACATCTTAAAAAAGCAACTGCTGAGTGACCTTTGACCAGTCCTGAGCTATTAACAGCCTGGGGAATGTAGGGCTATTGAGGATATTAATGTACCTTAAATGAGTGGAAATCAATTGCAGAAAAATAGGAAGTAAATAATGAGAATGACACGTGCCACAAACCACAAAGGAGTCAAAATATAGGAAATTGTTCAAATACACACTCTCTGTAATAGTTTCAAGGGTAAGATTTGTGTGATAGACATTCAGCGCTAGATCTTCAGTGAAAAAAGTCAATATTTTAGCAGAAGTTCATAATTAAATATTTTTGTTCCCTCCATTATTAACTATTTTGAGACAAACCTATATGTTAAAACTGGAATTCAACATAATAATCAGTAATTAAMTTGGTACAGCACTACAAGCTAAAACCATCCCAAAATTATCATTTCAATTTCAGTATGCAATGAATTAGAAGAACTTCACATTTAAACCATGGCACAAAAGAACATGCATAGAATCTGGTTAAGGTATTGGTGAAAAAAGATTAATTTTGATCAACAGTAAAAAACACCTTATTTCTCTTTTCTTATAGAATTCTCCCAGACAGAATTCTCTGAAATAATTCAAGCTTAAACTTATTTTGCTACTGACAGCATTCAAGATCAAAACCACCCAAGAAACAGATCAATTCACAATTCTTTTTGCTGAAGTAACTTAGATGATATAACTTTAGATTTTTATAAAGTACATTCTACATCAAGATCATGGGCCAAAATGTACTCTATATATATATATATATATATGCCTGTTTTAAAAAAAAAGACTTGAAGTCATGTGCTTAGAACTTCTAGAATAAAACAGCCAATATAATGCAAGTTTAAATATCATGACCTCATTATAAACTGAGCAAAAGGCATTAACTGTATCCTTGGTGACACATAGCAAAGGGAAAACGGAAGGATATTAAATTTCAAATAACAGCAAGTCAGGTGGCAGATGTAACACAAGCACCTCGGGACTGCAGCATGGGAAGGAACCTGCTCTCCCCTTTAACTACCAAGGTGGTATTTTTAATCCTAGATTAAAATTTAGATTTAATCCAGATTTACAATATAAAAATTACAAATATTCTGCTGTTTCCTGTTTCAGGGAACAAAACTGTGAGACAAAATCTGTAGAGCGACACCTGTGTAAAGATGAGGTTTTGGTAGAATGTTCCTCATTTATCTTTTTTTATTTTTCTTCCCTTGTTCTAAACTATGCTTACCTTTCAAGGTGGCCTTTTTCAATACCTTCATTGCATAAAGTTGTCTAGCATCTGATCCTGAGATTTTTTTGACAAGGAAGACCTGTATTGAAAATTACAAAGAATTCTTAAGAGAAAATAAAAGCAAGTCAGATTAATGTATTTTGCTATCAAATTCAAAGTCACTATGATTTCAATGAAACCCAATTTGACAGCTTTAGATTCTGCAAAGCCAAGTTTCCTTTCCTTCTATTCCTTCATTTCATAATCCAAAAAGATTTTTGTTTAAGATATTCTGCTAAATTAATCTTGGTTTAAGTCAAGTGATTTCAGTGAGTGAAAAAAAAAGCATGAATTTGCATTCTCTCTGAAGTTCACACAAATTTGAAACACAAAAAATCAGCTTTTTAAAATTAATCTGGATTTTTATCTTCTTGAAATTCATAGGATAACACAGCAAATGTGCTAATAAAATAATTTTCAGCTATGACAACAAATATGTGAACAAATTTTGATCCAGAAACTTTTATGAATCAAACCATAACTAAACAACATAAAAAAAATATTTAGTGTTGCATGGACCAATAAAGGACAACCAGCCTCAATTAAAGGGTGCTTCATTTCCTTCTTCAGTATCATGGGATTTCTTGAGTGGGATTGTTTTTAATAATAACTTTAACATTAAATTAATTCTAGCAGAGATAAATTTTAGATTTAGAAATGAAAAAATTTCTGTCTATGTACATCTATACACACATGTTATGGTGCATGAGAAAGTTAAACATACTTTATGAAATCAGTTTGAGATCTGGTTTTGTGCCCAATTCTCACTTGTTAACATCCCTTTGCATTATCCAGAGACTACCAGAGCATCATCAAGAGACCTTGAAAAGCATGTAGATCTACTCTTTTTAAAATAAATTGGAAATAGTGGCATCTTCACCAATTAAAGCAGCAAAAGGACTTACGGATTTTTTAAATATGAAGAGTTTTTGCATAAAGGCTGAGGATAAGACAGGTATTTTTGCAGAATTTGAGTCAGCTAGACAGTTCATTATTTTTGCTTATTTAAAACTCACATTCCCTCTTCTCTCTCCCATTATAATACTATTTTTAGTATTACCAGTAAAAAAGGGGTTGCTGAAATGAAAATTTATTAGGTCACTTTTCCTTGCCCTTGAATGATTTACTACTCATGCTCTGAAGATTTCCAAATAAAAACTTGCTTGTGATTCTGGATGAAATCAAACCTTTGGAATCAGGTTTCTCAGTGAATTTTCACTAGCATGAGTACAAAAATATTATAGTTTCTAAACACCTAGATTTCCAAACYTAACTGGAACAATAATGTGACTAATAGTAATTTACTACCACCAAAAGAGAATTAATTGGACCTATTATTCTAATTTTCCCTGAATCCAAGATGGATTTTTTACATGCTAGAGCTTAACATCACATTCAGAACTGCAATTAAGGCTGAAAATGGATGTAAAGGCCCTGCTGTCTTGCATTACACATTCCATTCAGTCTTGATATGTCTTGCCAYGAGAACTTAATGCTTTGCTTCCAAGTTGGATTTGAGCAGCTAGAAATATAAAAAATGTATGCCTGGTGAGATCTCAATACTCATGAAATGCTAGAAACGTCGAGTCTTTACCAGATGTTCAGATAAATATCAAAGTACATTGCACCTCAAAAAATTGTGACAGAAAATGCCAGCACAAACATGAAGTACAACATTAACTTCAGTAGCTATTATTGCCTAAAATTTGCTCATTACTTTTGTGGTACTACAAAACCCAGCTTCTGTACTGGAAATGTCCTACYATTACCAAGTAACAAGGAACACTTATCAAAATAATCTTTCAACCCTCACCTTCTCAAACAGAGAAAATGAGTAGTTATAGAAGAAYGACATTTTGTTTTAACAKTGAATACCCAATTATTTCATATCCAGCAATTTTTTTCTACTGAACTTGGAAATCCAAGAAAAAACCCCACTGCTTTAAAAAAAGATCTGCCACAATTAGAGTGCCTAGTTAGCACTAATCACTTGCAACATTGCCTTAATGCAAAACTGTGGCTGTTCTAAATACTTCACTGCCAATATTCAATGCTATATTCCTGAATAATTGGCTCCACAAGAGTTCAGTTMCCAACCTTTCCAAAGGATCCTTGTCCTAGTACTTTCAGAAGTTCAAACTGTGAAGGGTCTGCTTTCTCGTGTCCTTCCTTTACATGGTGAGTTATTGCAATTTCTTTGATACTTCCTTCTTCCTGCCAGAGGAAAAGAGAGGAATAAATTYAGATTAATGGTTTACAAATGTTTACAAATTCACAATATGTTGAAAAATACCAGTGTCACTGAACCCAATGAACTAGACATTCCCAAATATAAACAAAAACCACTYAACAATGCTATTTGCATAATTAGGACACAAAGCACTAGTTCAGTAACAATGTGGCTTAAACTTTCAAAAATGCACCAGGATCCAGACAATAGGAGAGTTGACAAAAATCAGCAATTCCCAAGCTTTTTTCCTCAGGCCCACATTACTGGGCTCCTATTTCTGTTCCAGATTCACAACCAATTAATGGTAAGACACTTTCCACTCCCACTGAGAGAATTCCGTTGAAGAAAATAATCTACCTTTCTTCTCAAGGAGAGTTGATCCTAAAAAAGCTGCCCAGTCTTCCTAATTTTCTTTTCTGCAAGAAACTAGTCACCAGAAAGCTCTAAGTAGCAGTGAATCTTCTTCACTTTTTGTGCTCTGCACTTAATTCAGTGTTTTCTGCACTAAATTTGAAAATGCCCTAAAAAGTGACATTCCTTGCCACAAAAGGAATGAATTTCAGAACTTATCAGCAGCAAGTAAGAAAAAAAATCTGCCTTCTTGTTAATCATCTGTAGAGCTATTTAGGCATTACATGCAATGCAATCTACTGTAACTTAACACACAAATCATGTCTGGTTAGCATACAGAAATCAATATATTTTCTACAATTTCAACTTCTTGCTCATTCTCTTTTTCTTCTATGGGTTATAGTGAATAAAATAAATCTGAGAATACTTTTCATCTATTTAATGAGGATATCTTTGATCTGTTTCACAGAATACCAGACTGGTTGAGRCTGAAAGGGACCTCTGGTCCTGCCACTGGACAGAACTGAAAAAAATTCTTTGCACCTTCCCTTCATGCAGGTCAAACATGATTTCACCATTGTGAATCCATGCTGAATAAGCCCAGTCACCTTTKTGTCCTTCATGTATACAGAAATGGYTAGTTTTAGATTTTCTAGGGGATTAAGGCTTGGCTGACCAACCCACAGTTCTCTAGATCCTCCTTCTTGCCTTTTTTGAAGATAGGAGTTGACATTTGCTTTCCTTTGGTCCTCAGTCACCACTCCCAGTCAAATTTATGCACATGAATTAGTGCTGAAAGTATCTTTTTGTACCTGATAATTTCAGTACTATATAGAAAAGCACAGCAACTGTCCACCAAGGTCAGCATGTTCCAAAACATGCTTCTCCCAGACAGACAATTCTTTTTCAAAAGATCACAAACCAAGCTGGAAACAAACTGCACATAAGAAATCCTGAGCACGTCTGTGTCAGAGTCTGTACATATTAAAATAATCCAGCACATGATTTGAAATAATACACAGAACATGCTGGTAACTTTTAAAATAAGGGAGTGAAAAAAGCTATTTTGATGTGAAGAATAGTTTTATGAATAGTTTTAGAACACCTAAGATAAATCCAAGATGACCAGTAAGTTTAGGTGCCTGTTTTCACTGTAAGAAAGACAAAATCGTGCTTATGTGTGCACACAGATATTCCACCTAATAAACTCAACTCTTCTGTCTTTTCAAGAGAAAATGCTACCAGGATCGATTCCAGGCTGAATCTTTACAGAATCTGAAATAAATATTGTTTTCTTGTACTCGTCAAAGGAATAAACTGCCAATGGACATTTTCGATTTTATCTTTTAAATTACTAAGTGATGTCTTTTAAATTAGTATATGATCAGTTGGGTTACATACTGCTTAAACCACCCACTGAATCTTAGAGAATCCCAAGGGAGGAACAGAATAGATCAGCAAACTGCCAAGTACACATTACTTCAGATTCTTTGATCCATATCTGCTTAACTGTTTTATCTATTTGCTCCCTGACAATCTTGGGAAAGTCAAAAACCATGACAGAAGGGGAAGGTGAAGGGTTCTTCATCAAGAACTACAGTGAAAGGACAGAGAGAAATGGGTACAAACTGAAAGACAGGAAATATAGGTTAGACATGTGGGTAGAAGGAACTCTTTAATGTGAAGGWGGTGAGAACAGTGGAACAGGTAGCTCAGGAAGGTTGTGGATGCCTCAAGTTTTCAAAGCCTGGTTAGATAAGGCCTTGAGCAACTTGGTCTACTGGGGGGTTAAAATTAGATGAYCTTTAAGGTCCCTTCCAACTCACACCATTCTWTGATTCTAYATTGGTTTAAAAGCATTACAAAACCCAAGAACAAGAAAAGAAGGAGCAAATCTATTAACTTGTTCTCTATGCACAAACAAAAATTATTTTTGAATGCAATGCAATTATTATGCAACCAACTTTCCAGTGGTTATTTTGGGCACCCTCTWAAAAACAAAACAAACCCCAAACCACCACTTCACATTCCTTATACTAAGAGAATATTCCCAGACTTTGCAGTTTCTCAGGGTTCAGATTCTCTTTAGTCCATAAAAGGCAGACCTAATGGAACTCTGTTTTAAACAAAAAGGAACTCAGATGATATCCAACTTAAGCTGGTCTGTAACACTTGTTTGGGAGCAAGATTTATGATGAGTAGTTGCCCACAAATTTGCAGTTTCCTTTTCTGACCTAAATGTTGAATGTTTGTTATTTTAACCTAAACAGCGTTCTGCAAATACAATTAAAAATAGCAAAGCTAAGCATTTTATAGAAACACAAATTATATCAGAGGTCATCAACTCTTGCTATCTACCTGAATTAAAACACAAGTCTTGCACATTGTYGAGAGATCTCTATTCTTAACCAACTGCACTAATTACATCAGATGATAGATGTCATCTTACAGTAAACTGGAAGAGAAGCCAGCCATTCCATCTGGTACTAAATTTGTCTTATGGTCCACCCACGATCATTCTCTGACCCTTGGTAAAAACATCTGCCCYGTGATAAATTCAAAATAAATGAGAAAGATTTATAGGGCGCTGGAATACTTGGGTCCTCCTCTCTTTTTTTCCATTCCTTGACAACTTGCCCTAATGAAATTAGCATTGTGATGGCAATGGATCTTCCTTCTGGTTGTAACTATACCCTACTGTCTACATTTTATTTCTGTTAGTTTTGAGCTTGGAAAACTCCCTTTTTTAAAGTGTTATACTGCAGCAAGGTCTAAAAAATCTCAAGACATGATTTCCTCTTGCACACAGTTCTCTCAAGGCCTTCACACCAGAAAGTTGCATTGTCAAAGAAAGCAATTTAAAAACTCACCCAAAACAACCATGTTAGTCAGCTCAAAGTGGTTGCTACTACAGGGAAACTAAACACAGAATACAAGGAAACAAACAGAAGGTAACATTACTCTGAGTTTCCTTTACAATGCAAAGTGTTAAATCAACACTGCTTACAAGAGAAGCCAGTGACAAACAAGTTTAGGTATGAATTTAAAGCACCACTTCTCCAGAATAATWTCCTGTACTGATCTAGTCTGCCAGTCAGAATTATTCTGGGCTGTATCTCAGTGTAAGTAAGCTCAGAGTAGTGTACCTCACACTGTATGTCTATGTATATATATACATAAGAAAGAACACCAAATGGACCATATTGCACAGACAAAATCAGAAAAGCTTTTTAAAAAAAAAAAGGGATTCTGCAACACCAAGGACAACTTATTTCTCTCTCAAAGAATCAGCTGCAAATTACAATAGGAAACACGCTTGCCTGTGAAAAAAAAACACAGACACATTCTAGGGAAGAAGCATAAAACTATTTAATTATTATTAGGCTATAAAAATAATAGCCTAATCATGTTACTGGGAAGAAAAAATCAATATTTTAGGTAATTAATGAACAACAAACACTCATTTTGCTTCTAGCAATTGAATGTATGTGAATTTCCTTTACCTACACTTTTAAATTCAAGAGTAAATTAACTGTGCTGCRACATAGAATACTTGTATTTGTTTCTGAGATCTTATTACAGGAACAAACATTAGATAATATGTTAAAAGGAAACCAGACTTTAAACCCTAAAGGAAGTACAAGCAGAGTCTTACTAGGTACATGTTTCTCAGTAGTAATGAAAAAGTCCAAAAAAGCAAGAGAAAAATATATATATACATTGACTTGTCTGCAATTTACTCTTCAGATTTCTGAATTTTTAGTAGGAAATCTGAAAACTGCTCTGTGTAAAGAAGTGGCCCATGCAGAGCTGGATGGCATAAGCTCACCAGTGCAGAATAAGCTGTGTGTTATCCGCAGATCTTTTTCTGAGCAGCAGAAAAGTTGGTCTAAGACTGCTAAACTGGGCTCTGAACTGSTATCTAGGAGAATGACTCGTAAAATCCACAATACCATTGTGACATTAATATTTAAATAGCACCTCAAAAAATGGAAGCATTCTTAGTCTCCAAATTTTATTAAAAAAGGACAGTGAAACAACTAACTAAAGGTTAAAAGAACWTAAATATATATAAATGTATGCWCCAATAATGGCAAAATAATTCACAAGGAAATAGCTCCAAATCATCAAAGACAGCACAGGATCAGATGTGTGCTCTTAAGGAAAGCCATTCAAAGTAAGGAATATTAGCACATCCAAACACCATAGGAGTCTCACTGCATCTAAAAATCTCAGTCTCACCTTCCTGAATAAATGCATAAGCAAAGTGTAAACATGCACAATGACAAGTGCTTGGCAAAGAAATTTCCCATTTCTGTCCCACAGTATTGAAATTTAACAAGAATCTTCTCTTAAAACGGTGTAAGAATTAAGCAGAACAACAAAGAATAAACCAGTACGTCACATATAGAATGCTTACTTAGGAAAGATATTCCTGGAATACAGATTTCTCAGTTTCTAGATACTCAAGATTATGTGAGTATGAATAAAAACATTCAAACACTTCCATCTTACTAACAGCATATTTTAGATAACAGTTATTAAGAGAACAATTAGTTCATAGCTTAATGATCAGTGACAAAGACTTGAGTATATACTTTCCAATATACTGAAAGCATAAGTTAAAATTATG